GGGTTTCCATGGACTGCAATATGATCTGTTCATATTTTTTAATACTTGATACATATAATGAATATCATATATATGTATCCTTGTCTGAAGAAATATTCAGCTTATTCTTGATCTCTTATCTTGATTAGAATAACATGTAGTAATAATATTTCTTGATCAAGAACAATCTTCTACATTATTGAGCCTAAAACTTTTTGTATTTGTGACTGTAAAGATTGACGCCATGTTTCCGCCTCCTGTTCTCCAACCGCCACCGCCGCTACTCTTCGCCATTTTTGTGCTCCATAAAGGCACATTGCACAATGTTTGAATCTAATCATTATTTTTCTGAACCAGGGGAGCTCGTGTGAAAACAGCCTGAGCTATCTTGTAGCTCCCCGGCCACAAAATATATATATGTAATTGTAAAGTCATTTTTATTAATATGAATATTGTTATCTTGTGGCCTAATAAATGATTTGATTTGATTTGATTTGATTTGATTTCCATTCATTATACATTATACATTTAATTTACTTTATATTATACATTTAAATTCATTACATTATTCATGCATTTACATTGTTCATTCACTATTAAATATAAATTTCCATTCATTATAAATTATACATTTACATTTATTATACATTATACATTAAGATTCATCATACATTATACATTTAAATTCATAATACATTATGAATTTTAAGTCATAAAACTTTATTTTAATTCATTTCATTTTGCAATTTTCAATAGATAAGTGGAGGTTTCCAGATGGATGAAGTTTCATAAAACAAATAGATGGAGTTTTCATTTAACATGTGAATTTATGTTTCATATAACAGATAGATGGAGGTTTCATATAATAGATAAATGGAGGTTTCATATAACAGATAGATGGAGGTTTCATATAATAGATAAATGGAGGTTTAATATAACAGATAAATGGAGGTTTCATATAACAGATAAATGGAGGTTTCATATAATTGATAAATGGAGGTTTCATATAACAGATAATGGAGGTTTCATATAACAGATAAATGGAGGTGTCATATAAATTTTAAATGAAGGTTTCATATAACATATAAATGGAGATTTCATATAACAGATAATGGAAGTTTCATATAACAGATAATGGAGGTTTCATATAAGAGATAAATGGAGGTTTCATATAACAGATCATGGAGGTTTCATATAACAGATAATGGAGGTTTCATATAACAGATAAATAGAGGTTTCATATAGTTATAGTTATAATATTTATTTTCAACACACAAAATACAAAACAATAATGTTCAGCTAAAAATAAAACTTGAAAGAAAATTTATTAAGAGTCTATTGAATTAAATATGATAATATTTTTTTCTGAGCCCACGATTTAAAAAACTCGGGAAAATACGGCTCAGGTCTAAGCTGTCGTTGGACCTTATTTACGGCTTGAGCTTT